GTAAAATTATTATACAATACAGGAATGTATATAATTTCTGTGTCATTTACAATATACAAAGTATGAAATAAATGTAAGTTCCCACAAACGAATTGATAGAGTCTGCATAGTCAACAGAATACTGTCCAGATATAAAACGAAAAGACATCCAACCATTAACCAAAGTATGTGTGCAATGAGAGGATGTGATTTTAAATGAAATAACCAGGTACAGAAAGGTAGATGCCATATTATCCTCCCCTACATGTGGGATTTAGAAAAGGCTAATTTTTAGATGTGGAAAATGTACTGCTGCTTAGCATGGACTGGAGGGTTAGAAGAGATGTTTGGGGAGATATGGGTCAAAGGATACAAAATTTCAGGTACACAGAGAAACAAGTTCATGAGTCTACTGCACAGCAAATTCACTGTAGTCACTAGCAGTATATTGGAATTTTCAGTGTACTGGAGTGGAATTGTAAACAATAAGTCTACAAGGTGATGTATATGTTAATTGGGTGGATTTGTCATTTTGCAATGTAGCTGTATTTCAAACACTGGAGGATTGAGCTCAGCCATATCTATTTAAATATGATAATTAATAATAATAATAATAATAATAATAATGGCAGCAAAGTACTCTACCTAACCTCATCTGCAAGGCACTTGAATGTTTCTATGGTGCTCTTAAACTGGAACATGTGGTGATATTGTCAAACACTTCCTCTAACTGTTGAAACTCATTCTAATTATTCCTGACATTTGGAGTCCCTCCACCACCTCGTTTTTCACCATCATTGTTTTAGTTACACTGTTCATTGCTGTGACAAAAACTTGACAAAAACAACTTATCATAAGTTATTTTATTACATATATATGGAGAGAGATAGAGCTTGAGTATTTATGTGTCAATGTATGTATGTTTACATGTGTTTGTGTTTGTGTGTTATGTATCTGTGTGTCTGTGTAGGTACTCAGTTTGCTTCCTCTTTTTAATTCATCCTGGGACCCCAGCACACAGGTGGTGTGACTCACATTCATGGTGGGAACTCTCTTCTCAGTCAAACTTTTCTGAAAATACTTTCATAAGCACATCCAGAGTTGTGTTTCCATGGTCATTCTAAATCCATTCAAGTTGACAATGAAGATCACCTACAACAATCAGTGACTCATAAGTGCTGAAGTATGCTTCCTTTCTGATCATCTACCCCAATCAATGACTCACAGGTGCTGAAATATGCCTCCTCCTTTTGTGCATAGTCAGTATGACAATTCTGACACAGGCATTTTACATTGCCTACTAAAGTTTCTTTTTTATATTTTATTATTTTTTTGTGTATGAATGCATTGCCTGCATATGGGTAGGTGCATCTGTGTTGTTTAATGATTGCAGAGGTCAGAAGAGAGGTCGGATTCCCCTGTAACTAGAGTGAAGGACAGTTGTTAGTGCCATGTGGGGGCTAGGGACTAAACCTGGGTCCTCTGTAAGAGCAGCCAGTGTTCTTAACTACTGAGCCATCTCTACAACCCTACCTCCTAAAGATTTTAGTGAGATTAAGTTCCAATTTTCCACTGTAGTGGCATGCACACCCATTTTGGAAACCTGTAGGAGGTCCCACCGGTGTCTTCTTATTTATCTAGACCCTGTAATTTTCTTCATCCCCAAGGAACATGGATTCTTGAAGCCACATTGATCTGAACCTCATGCATACCATGCCTCTCAATATATACATAACTTATGATGTCTAATATATAAATTATGCACAGCAAAACATAAGTAACTAATAATAAAATAGAACAATCACAACACACTGAATTAAGCTGCCAGCACCACATATTTATGAGGTGGAGACATTGTTAATTAAAAGGACGTGTGCTTGGAACATGCACAGCAGTTCTGCAGCAGTGGTTGTGATGACAGAGGTCAGTAGTGAGTCACAGGGCAGTGGTGGACACAGCATGACTATGGATTATACATGTCTGATTCTTGTTCTAGGCAGGACACATGGGATTATGCAAGATTTCATCTCTCAGAAAAGTATATAATCCAAGATTTATGACTTTTATATAAACACAAGAATATGAGAATTCTTTTGTCCATATCAATGCACAAGGTTTCAAAAATGGTGTATTCTACCTATTTCCTTGAACTCAAATTGTCATGAAAGCCAGAAGACCATTTGTCCAAGACAGTACTCATTCATAGTAATTTGGCGTCACATTTGCCTCTAAGTAGAATTGAGGAAAGTGAAACTGAATGAGGACCCAGGCACCTCCCAGCTCACCAGCTTAAGCTAAATACCATTCCTGCATCTGCTTCTGGGAGTAACCCAACTTACGCAAAAAGTAAAGCTTTGGTGTAGGCTTTAGTGAATGAATGAGTGTTCACAAGAGCAACAGATTAAGTTTGGGTAAGCGATGTAAATGATGTGTTTAGTGGAGCAGTGTGGCAGACACTGAAGCAAGAAACAGAATATCACTGTGAACAGTTAAAAACAATTTCACTTCTTTATTTCCTTAAGGGTAAGAAATGTAAGAGAGTTGGTTGAAATCCTCTATAGCCATCAATGGCACCAAAACTCATACTATTATAAGGTTATAAAACTAGTTCTGCATCAATGGTCTCCTCTTTGTATTCATCTCGAATTCTGAGATTCTCTTTTTTATTTTTCTCACCAAATTAAAAAAAAATTATTTAAAAATACTAGGTACCTCACAGAGTATCTTCAGAGAGCAGATAACCAAGCTTGGAAAAGATAAGCCCACGGACATAAACAGCCCAGAACATACCACCCAGTTGACACAGCTGAGCTCGTCTACTGAATGTTCTGCTGCTGTTTCTGGTACTGGATTCTATACTGCACAGATGGCTCCCCCAAAACTGGGCACTCCCACCTGTGACTTTGGTAGAAATAAATTCTGTTTGTGGTCTCTTTTCCTCTTCCGCTTTTTGCTAAGCTGTGGTCTCAGGCTGGGCATCTAGTGTTGGAACCCAGGTTCTAGGCCTGCGTTCTAGATGTAGGGGATGCAGTAGAAGGAGTTTGGTTTATCTCTTGGGAGGTCAGAATTCTCACATTTGTGATGTTCAAAAGTCCTTGTTGCTCATTACAGGCTTATTAATAGAACATGAACTATATTTACATCAGTGCACCAATAAATACATTGTAAGTTTATTGAGAAATGTGTTATTTTTATAGAAAAGAATTATCAACTTTTTAAAAATTTGGAATAGACAACAAAGCTTTGTGACTTCGTTGGAAAAAGGAAAGCTTTTGCTTCATACAATTTCATATGTGAAAAAAGCAAACTAATTTCATAAACAGAACATTTCAAGTATTGTTTTATACATTTTGAATGATCAGTGATTTGAGGAAACCCTTTTATTAACTAAAATTAAGCTATCCAAATTACCAATGTAAAGAAGACAATAAAATAGCTTACAAGACAAACAGTGGCTCTCTACAAATCATACACTAAAGATAAGTCAATATTCTACTTGCCAAATTATGTTAAAGGATGGTAAGATAAACAAAAACAAGAGAATAGAAAAACAAATTGATTTGCTCATTTTGTAATTCAGTAAACTAACAAAACATCAAGCTATTAAAAGAAATTTCAGAAATTTTGTGGAACTATTTCATCTGTGTGTGTCTAAAAAGGAATCTAATATAATTTTCATGGTTTTGCAGGCAGAGTGAACAGGCTATCTGAGGTGATAAAAGGTCTGATGATTAATCATTTGTGGTTATACCCTGAAAACTTAGATTGATAAACCCTTGTTACAAAAGGTATTAAAAAGTGTCCTAACATGTATATGTATACATATATGTATACAAAGTATGCCATGATTTTTTACACCTTGTGGCATGTTAAGCTATGAATAAAAAATATAGCATGCACATAAAGTATAAACGATACAAAGTATAAACTATGTATACACAGTTTTCACAGAAAATATATGGCCTGAAAGCTGAAATAAAGAGGATTAACAATTGTTTTTCCACAATAAAGCAAAGGATTTTCATCTTCTGAGGCTGCTTTAAAGGTATCAAAGGAAAATGCATAAATTTAAAACAAATACAAAATTGATAAACATGAATATGTTTTATCTGAGGAACTATTATACGTTTGAAAAAATTTAGGGAAACTAAATAATTGCTACTATAACAAATCTCCCCTAGTTTCAATGCTGTGTTTATAATCATGTTCCTGGCACCTGGCCTGACTTCAAGCAGCTAACAGGTGCACTGTGAACAATTCTTCAGGAAATAAAGTTTTGAGAGTCTACAGAAAGTTGGTATGACCCAACACTGCTGCTTGTCACATAGGATGATGCACTGTTTTGGAAAAGCAACATGGGCACACAACCTAAGGGAGCCGAATATCCTGTACACTTCAATTCAATAAACCTATTTGTTAGAATTGTAAATACAAAATTTAAAGTTTTGGGAATATCTGAAAATACTGAAAATGTTTAAAATATGTAAAATGAGTGAATGAGGAGACCAATTTTAGGGTAAAATAAAAATGTGACTTTATAAAAAATATAATAGACTTTGCATGTAAGTCAGGTGATGTCATGAAAATTTGTATCGATTTGTGCATTGGAATGTAAAAAGATGAATTTAAAATAAAAACTTGAAAATGAATGGGTAATGTGAAAAATATGACTTTGTATGGAGAACTTGAGTGATATTACTTTTAAGAAAATGAATCTTGTTATTATTTTGAAACTGCAGAAAAGTTAAAAGACAGACCCGATTGTTTGTCCCTGTGTGGGTACATTGGAGGTGAAACGTACTGTAACTACATTACAAAGCTATGATTGTTAACTTTCTCACAATTTGAAGGATCAAGAATGGTTTCAATAATAAAATATGAAGAAATAAGAAGTCCTTTCATTAAGGATTATGGTTATAGGATTTGATTTATTCACAGGAAAAAGAATTACTCTTAATTGACATTACAAATCGAAAGAATCCCAATGAGTAAAAATTTTTCTGTGCATAATTTGACAGTTATTAAAAACAGGACAGAAAAGTTTTTGTCTGAGTGAATGCTCTACCTAGCAGTAACTTTGGTACAGCCCCCTTCATGGCTTCATTCCTAAGACTGTACATAATAGGGTTGAGTGTTGGGGGTAGCACTGTGTAAAATATAGAGAGCATGAGGTCTAGAGCAGTTGTTGAGTCTGAAGTTGGTTTGAGATATGCACAGGCACCTGTGAACAAATAAAATGAGACCACACCAAGGTGGGGTAGGCAGGTGGAGAAGACCTTAGACCTTCCTTCAGCAGATGGCATTTTGGGAACTGTTGAGAATATCTGGAAATAGGAGAGGGCAATGGCAATGAAGCAGGCAAATGCCAATAAAACCATAAAAGCAACCACTCCAACCACTGCAAGGTAATCATTGGAGCAAGAGAGCTTGAGAAATTGGGGAACATCACAGAAAAACTGGTGGATAATTTTGTCCCTGCAGAATCTGATAGAGAACGTGGTTACTATGTACAAGGTTCCTGGGATGACTCCAATTAGCCACACAGCTGTTACAGCCCACCTGCACTTTGTGGGACTTATGATGACCTCATAGTGTAATGGGAGGCAGATGGCCACATAGCGATCATAGGACATCACTGTGAGAATGGCCACATCATCCCTGCCCAAATACATCAAGAAGAAAACCTGCAGCACACACTGAGCATAGGAAATGTATCCACTGCCTGTCAGGGAATTGTGGATAGACTGGGGGACAGTGACAGACAGGTAGTAGAGGTCAAGAAGGGCAAGGTGCTTCAGGAAGTAGTACATTGGAGATTGGAGCTTTGGATCCAGCATTGTGATGGTGATGATGGTGAAGTTACCTGCCAAGCCCAACAGGTACATCACCAGGAAGAGCAGAGCATGCAGGATCTGCAGCTCACGGATGTCAGAGAACCCCAGGAGAAGGAAGCCACTCATTATGGTCATGTTTGTCATCATCATAGTAGCTGGAGAATTTTTAAGTATCTGGTAAGTGCAGTGGAAAGATAACGAATTGTTCATCGGTTCATCATTACTTATGCAAGACTTAATGATTGAAAAAGTCTATCTTTAAAAAATCAACTGTGCTGTAAATTTTGAGAATCCAAAGCTTGGGACATATTTTCTGCCACCATAGAGCTCACAGTATCCACTAGCAAACCAGCAGTTACATGTTAGCATCAGCGTGGTCCATTACTGATCCTCTCATGGAAAAAACATTGTTCTTGCCCCATGATAAAGTACAGCTCCATTTTCACAGTTGAAACCCACTGGCTTGCTTTAATTTATCTGTAGAAATTCAGTGTTGGCCTGGGAATGGAGGACTGGTTACATATAGATAGGACATGGTACCATTTTGACAGATGGAATAGGGATCTTAAAATAATATGATATATGTAATTCAAAATTTGTTTGGCTCTGCATGGAAGCTGGTATTCTCTTTTAACATTTTAGTTATTATAGTGGGAGGCTCTTTCATTGAAAAACAACCTGTCAAAAAGGGTATTTTTATTGTCTTTCAAATAAGCTTGGACAAGTTATTGAAATAAAGAGCAAGAAACACTTGTAGAAGGAGAATAATTCACATGTAACTTAAATTAGATGGTCAGTTTTATGGAGGATTTTCAAGATCAATCAACTTGTATTAGAATCCAATTCTTATTTGACAGCCGTTCTTATCACTGACGTTCAGTTGTGATCATCGAACAGTTATTACAAGTACTATGAGCAAAGACAGCTGCAACGAACAGAGCAATTCTTTGAGATTTCTAAAATGTAGATGAAGTTAATATTTAGTGTTCCATTTCAGTGAGAGATTATAAAATAAAAATGATCTGTGAGTCAGGCAGGAGAAAAATGTTATATTTCAGCATGCTTTGCTTTGATTGAAAATACCCAAATATTCTCTTGTCACCAAAGTGCATGTGGGTTTTGAAGGCTGATGAGAGATTAGCAGTGAGTTTCACGTTCCTGCATTTTTTTTTATTCAGTGGTTCTAGGAAAGAATTGTAAAAATGGTCTGTCAGAATTCTGGGGTTTTAAGTCATATGAAATACTTTCTTGTGCGAACTTAGAGTCATGTATTTACAAATGCAATCTCAGAGAATAAAGTGAGGTCAGCGTTGCCGCAGTGGGTGTCCACCTCATGCCAGTTTTCCTGTAGCCTTCTTTCCTATGAAAACAAAGCACCTCACCCTGCCTGTCTCACATCTCTTTTGAAAAGAATAAACCTGACATTTGACCATTCCTTGTCTACTGCCTGTCTTATGACAGATTGCTGGGTTTTGACTGATTATAATAGTAATGGCTTTTATAGCTAAGCACGGGCAGTGAAAAATTTAATTTTAGATCCTGTGACACAAATATCCTGAATTCAAACCAGCACAGGGGACACAGAATGACCTTCAATCTAAAGGACAAAAACCTTAAATGCACTACATATATGAACTATTCATTTAGACGGCATAGTTAAAAGGATCATCTTTCTTGTTGTGTGTATGGAAATTCCAACTTTATTCCTTCTAGGATATTCTCATATTTGTTGATTCTTTCAAACCTCAAGTTCCACAACAGAGAGGGGGAATCAGAGATCTCAGGTGAGCATCTCTGTTTCTGTGTTTTTCCAAATTATGCTTTTTAAATCTATTTTTCTTTTAATTTGATAAATGACACACATAATTATTTCTCACATTTTTACATCGGTTCATTTTATCTTAATAATTTAAACTACCAAATCAAACATATAGTTACCAATAGACTGAGAAGTAAGTAAGCCAAATAGCATTGAACATTTGTATGAGAAGATGGGGTGCTTGAGTCCATCCTAAACAGGTCCCCTCACAGACAGTTTTATCATCTTGGATTTAAGACTTTTAAATGTTTAAATCTCTATTTTCATAGGAAACATTAAAGACCTTGTATGCTTACATAACAGAATTGAAATATGAGTTGTAACAAACACCCATACACTCACATATGTGTATGAAAGAGAAAAACAACTTTATAAAGAAAAGTTAAAAATTACATTGAACACCCCCACTTCTGTCTGTCTCTCTTCTGATGTGTTTATGGAAGCTTCACATGTACAAACATAGAAAGCCCTAACTTTTCCTATTTACTGGTTTTGTGTGTGTGTGTGTGTGTGTGTGTGTGTGTGTGTTTGAGACAGGGTCTCCCTGTAGCTCCAACTGGCCTGGAATTCTCTATGTAGACAGGTTGACCTTGATCACACAGAAATCCATGAAGTTCTGGAATTAAAGGCGTGTGCCACATGCCCGCTTACTAGATTTCTTGAAAAGATCCTTAATATGAATTAAATTCATAGGAATCACACAGAAATCCATGAAGTTCTGGAATTAAAGGCGTGTGCCACATGCCCACTTACTAGATTTCTTGAAAAGATCCTTAATATGAATTAAATTCATAGGATTTATAAATCTGGTCATATTTATTAAGTTGAACTTCCTTCCCTGTTATATTTTGCTTTTCCCACTAAATAAGCTTATAAGATTATATCTGAATTTCCACAAATATTTTCTTTCCTCAGCCCAGACTGAAAAACTCACCCCAGAAGACCTTATGTGGGTAACTCTGCACATGCTCAGCAACTTTTGACATTTCTCATCCACAATCTCAGGTTTTTAAAACGTACTTCCTTTGAGTAGAAGTATTTGAGCTGATTTTAATTGGAGTTGGGGGAGTTTTTGAAAAGCGGGGCTAAACTTAGACAAAATTGCTTCATTTCCTCTGACCCTGTATCTATCACTTGGGATGAGGTGTCATTGAAATTTCCACACAGCTGTTGAGGGAATTGGTGAGCTTGGGGTTTCCTAGTCCATAGCTCAGGGGTTCTCAGTCCTAAGAAGAGTCGTTAGAACTTAGGGACCTGAGCCCACAATCAGTAATAACTCTGATGCAGAGGTGTAAGGGCAGCTGTGTGCTGTCATGCCCCTAGGGGCTGCTGCATCTGCTCTGAACACCACAAGTAGAGAACCATTGAGTAACTTAATTGTGTATTTCTGAGAGGTTATGAAAATGTAAATATTTATAAATACACTTGAAACCATATGAGGCCTTGGGAATATTTATAAAACAACCTTTATCTTCAACTATCTTCTTGAAACTGAGGAATACACAGAATCTCATGTTTTCAAGAGCTATATTACTCATTCATTACAAGCACCCAGGAAGAAAAAACTATCTCAGATATCTTAAATATATTGAGCAAGAGTGCCTAAAATCCCCATGAGTTAATATTTATTATAAAAGTTTTTCAAAACCTTAGTACTTTAAAGAAAAGTAAGTTCACAATATTATTTAGTTATTTTTAAGTTCTCTTACCAGTTTTTACAGACATTAATATTTTGCATTAAGTTCTATGTGACTATATATTTATATATCTTATAAAAAGTATTACTCCAAAGATTTCATGTAAACTATATGATTATATAGTCACTATATATTAAAGGCCACATAGCATTTTGCTTAGACTACAGTCCAATTTTAGGAAATATTCTTTATTCATGTTCTTTGTGTGTGTGTGTTTTATAGCTTTAATTTATTTTTTAATAATTTTAGAAAAATAGATGTTCTATTCCTAGACTATCTAGATAGATCTTATGCCTGAGACACCTCATTTCCTTTGTATGATTGACAAACTTTTTAAAATGTGTATTTCGTAGAGAACATCCCAAACAATCTTATTCAACTTTATACCCTCATCCCAAATGGCACCCTCCCATAGTCTCCCCACCCCCAACTGAAGCCCATATACTTTGCCATCACTGTTACTGTCCACTGTGTTGTCAGCACCCCCAGCTGTTACCCAGTGCTAGTCCATCTGCTGAATCTAGTCAGCCTATCGAGGTTTCCTTTTTTTAAGAAGATCAGCTCTTCCTCATCTAGCAGAAATCAGTTGCCAACATTCCTTTAGATAAGATTGGGGTCTACTGTTCATTTGCCCAATTCTATGCTGGGTTACTGTCTGGGAGACTCTTGGGCCACCCTGGACAACAACTCAAAGGAAGGTATTTCCTTCCTGTCTGGCATTGTTTTTTGTTATATAGCCTTTAGCTTGGGCCACCCTGGACAACAACTCAAAGGAAGGTATTTCCTGTCTGGCATTGTTTTTTGTTATATAGCCTTTAGCTATACCCATGGGCTCTTAAAGAATTATACTGATCACTTTAATCTTTGGTTATACATTCCTTTTGGGTGTTTAAGACCATACACTTGGCCAAGATAAACCAATTTATTTTTGCTCTTAAGGTTGTTTGAGGAGCTGATCCTCAGGGGTCACATGGGCTTGGGAGGAGCCCCTGGCTCCTTTATTTTACCAGTTCCATCTATGTGAGGATAAATGAAAGGTCCTGCTCAACTGTGGCTGGCTTCACTCTGAAGCATGGAGGACCCTTCTCTTTGTAGACTGTAAACTGGTTCAAGTTCATCTGGTGAGGTCTCCATGGCCTTCTTGAACAAGAGGACAGGTAACTCACCACAGATACAGGATATTTTGAGAGATGCTCATAGTCCCTTTGAACTTAGTCAACCTTGGATGGCAAGGAGCAAAGACTGTCTTCTAAGTCCCTCTGACCACATTAGTATAGGCCTCAAAGTATGGCTGTTAAACATCCAAGGTTAGTTCCACCAGTCTGGTACTTTTAATTACTATGTGCCATGGAGATAAAGCTTGGGCAAAGACCAAAGGTTCTCAGATAAACCTTGCCTAGACATTTATCATGTTCCTTGAGCTAGTTGTATATATATCTTGTAAGTGGGTTGTTGGTTCCCTCAGGTTTTTTTTAAACTATCTAGGCATTATTTATCTCTATCATTGTCTAACCCTTTTACAATGGTTTCCCCATTTCCCCCCTTTCTCCCTTAATAATACTCTTCTCCTATGGTTTCTCCTCTCTTGAGTGCCTTCTTTCCATTTATCCCCAAGTTTCCTTGTATAACCCTCC